CCTATTGGTTTATTAGATATGATTTTTGTTGGTTTAGCAATTGCTTGGGGATATTTAATATTCTTATTTAACTTACTGGAGTGTACATTTTTAACTTATCTTTAGTATACTTAAACTTCAAGTGACGTTATCCCATAACACATATTGTAAGAGAAACTTACAACAGTATACTTTCATTTCTGCCTTCCTGTCTTTTGTGCTATCATGGACATACATTTTATTTCTGCTTGTTTTAAACTCCACAATATATTATTGTTTTTTCTGTAAATAGTCAATTATCGTTTACAGAGATTTAAATAAACAGGAAAGAAAAAGAACTTTTATCCTTACACACATAATTACTATTTGCAGTACCTTTTTTTTTTTTTTTCCATGGAGACAGGGTCTCACTCTGTCACCTAGAAGTACAACCTCTGCCGCGTGGGCTCAGGAGATCCTCTCATTTCAGCCTTCCAAGTAGCTGCTAGGACTATAGGTGTGTGCCATCATGCCTGGTTAATTTTCTTTTAATTTTTTTTTTTTTTTAAGAGAGATGAGGTCTTACTATATTGCCCAGGCTGGTCTCAAACTTCTGGGCTTAAGCAGTCTTCCTGCCTTGGCTTCCCAAAGTGCTGGGATTATAGGTGTGATCCACTTCCGTACTGGTGCCCAGCCTTCAGTACTTTTTATTCTTTATGTGCATTCCATTTGTATTTTTATTATGTCTGAAGGTCTCCTTTAGCATTTCTCATAGTGTGTCTCTAGTGGTGATGAATTCTTTCAGCTTTTGTATGTCTAAAAATGTTATTTATTTCAAGTTTCTATTTAAAAATTGTTTTCGCTGAGTATAAAATTCTTAATTTCAGGGTTTTTTCTTTTTTTTTTTAGACAGAGTCTCGCGCTTTCCCCCAGGCTGTAGTGCAGTGGCGCGATACTGGGTCACTGCAAGCTCTTCCTCCCAGCTTCACGCCATTCTACTGCCTCAGCCTCCCGAGTAGCTGGCACTACAGGTGCCCGCCACCACAACTGGCTAATTTTTTGTATTTTTTTTTAGTAGAGACAGGGTTTCATCATGTTAGCCAGGATGATCTCAATCTCCTGGCCTTGTGATCCACCCACTTTGGCCTCCGGAAGTGCTGGGATTACAGGCGTGAGACACTGCGCCGGGCTGATTTCAGTTTTTCTTGATGGCATTTTTTGAGTATTTGAGAAACATTGTTTCACTATCTTCTAACTTGTATTGTTTCCCTTGAAAAATACGCTGTAATTATTTCCGTACTACTCTCTACGCAACATGTCTTTTATTCTCTGGCTCCTGTTGAGATAGCCTCTTTATTACAGTTTAGAGAATTTGATCATGATGTGTTTTGGTGTAGTTGTCTTCACGTCTTTTGTGTTTGGAGCTCATTAACTGTCTTGGATCCGTAAAGTTTTTGTTTTTATAAAATTTGATAAAAATTCAGCCATTATTTCTTCACATAATTTTGTCTTATCCTTTATTTCTTTTGTAGATTTCAATAGAAATTATTCCATATCTCAGTGATTCCCTTTTCTACATTTTTTTGTCTTTTTCTGTTTTTCATTGCATAGTTTACTAGTTATATCTTCTGCAATGTCTAATCTGCCAATAATTCTATTTAGTGAATTTTTTTAAAATCTCCAAGTATAGCTATCATCTCTAGAAATATGATTTGGATTTCTTGTTTATATCATATCGCTACTTAACTTGATCTTTCCTCTAGCTTTTGGAACATCTGGCATGCAGTTAAAATAACTGCCTTTATGACTTTGTCTTCTAATTCTAACATCTGTTTAAGTTCTGCGTCCATTTTGATTGACTGAGCTTTTAGCCTCGTATGAGTCATATTTTCCTGCTTTTTTGCATACCTGGTAATTTTTTATTGGATGCCAGACATTAAGAATTTTATCTTGTTGGGTACTGGATATTATTGTATTTCTCTAAGTCTTCTTGTGCTTTGTTCTTGGATGCAATTAAGTTATTGTGAAACCACTTGATTTGTTTGGATCTGGCTTTTCTGTTAGGCAGGTCCAGAGTAATGCCAAGTTTAAGCCTGTTTTCCATTTCTTCGGCAAGATCCTTTGAGTATTCAACCCAATGCCTTCAGAATTTATCAGTTACCATTTCAGCTGGTGGCCCCAGGCACTTTTTCAGACTCTGTGCAAACACCAGCTACTGTTTATGCTAATCTTTTTAAGAGGTTCTTTCTCCTGACACAGGGAGTTTTCTCACATGCAATGTGTCGATCAGTACTCTTCAGAACATTTGAAAAGTACTGCCTGGAGATCTCTGGCATTCTCTCTCATGCAGCATTCTCCTCTGTTCTTCAAACTTTAGAAGACTTTGCATCCCCAGATTCCTAGCTGCATCGCTTCAATTCAGGAAGACTTCTGGGCTCCCCCTGGGTTTTTCTTCCCTGACTAAAACTTGAAAATGCACCATAAGCAATAAACTGAGGCAAACATAACACTCACCTCATTTGTTTCCCATTTCTCAAGGAAAACTATTCTTTATTGGCTGCTTATATCCAATGTCTTAAAAACCATTGTTTGATATATTATTTCAAATGGTTTAGTTGGTTCTGTCAGGAAAATACAGTGCCTCTAATTCCATCTTGACAGGAAGCAGAAGTCTCAAGTTGAAGTCTATTAGATAGTGCATGCTAACTTAAGACACCTTTGCAAAGTTCTTTTGACTATTTCCAGGAATATCTAAAAGATGTCTCGCATGTGTCCTCCACCACTATCCGTACTTCTCTACCAGAGGCCTAGTCTCACATGTGGCAGTCCTAATCAAAATCCCAAATAAATTTCGGTAGATATCAACAAGGTGATTCTACAATTTACACAAAAGGCAAAGAGAAGAACCATAAGAACTTTGAACAAACAGAACAAAATTGGACAAACAAACCCTAACAATGACAATCCTGGTGAGGTTGCCAAGCAACTGGAACTCTCATTTACTGCTGGTGAAATGCAAAATTATACAGCCACTTTGAAAACCAGTTTGTCTGTTTCTTACAAATTCAAATAAATATGCATTTACCGTATGACCTAGCAATTTCATTCTTGGGGATGGGATTAAAACGAAAACTTATTTTTATACTGATATCCATATGCTAACATTTATGGTAGCTGTATTCATAATCACCAAAAACTGGAACCAATCCGTATGTTCTTCAACAGGTAAACAGATGAACAACCTTCAGGTAATGGAATACTACTCAATGACAACAACGACGACAAACTGTTGATATTTGCAATAGAATGGATGCATCTCAAATGCATTATGCCAAGTGAAAGTAACCAGACACAAAAAAGTATTTGTTGACAGTGATTAGGGCTTAGAGAAGAAGTTGTAAACATGAGGGTATTTGGGGCAATGATGACACTATTTTGTTTCTTGACTGTGATGATGGTTTGTGACTCTACATTTGCCAAAACTCACAAAACTATAAACCAAAAAGAGGGACCCTACTGTATATAAATTAAAAAATTGAATTTAAAAATCTATATACTGAATATTGAAACACCCACCACTTTTGCATGACTCAGTTCCAAGAATGCAGGCAACTAGGCATATTCCCCAAGGCTGGAGACTGGAAAATTCTTCTCTTGAGATATAAAAAGACTGAGTGGAGGATGAGGGCAAGATTTGCATATACTGACATTTGAGAAAATTCTCCTGAAACAGCTGGGCCACTACTATGAAACTCACATGAAGTCCCGGTAGATATGTCCTGCCTGTACACACATATTTCAAATAGTGTCTTATTGTAACCTGGCATCCTATAAGTCATAGGCATTTGAGGAAAGTTTTTGACATGAAAAATAAAAACCAATACAAACCCAAAAGGGAATAAAATTCAGTGAAAATGAGATGATGAACAAAGTTGAAAAAATTTAAAAACCTGTATTTAATATTATTGAAGAGGTAAGAGAATATGTTCGCAATAAAAAAGACATAGCAATTAAGAAATCCTGTTACACACAGGGTAGAAAAAATAAAAATTATCAGAAAGGCTGGAAAGGAAATTACAGAATATCTCCTAGAAAGTGGAACTGAAGAAAAAGATAAAAAACAGGAAAGAAAAATTTTGGAAAGTTACATGATTAATTCAAAATCCTGCATTCAAATAATATGTAAAACAGAAAAAGAGAAGAAAACAGAGGAGAAAAGATTTAGCCAATACAAAATACAAAGAATTTCTGTAACTGAAATTATGAATCCAGCAAAATGAATAAGAAAGGACCTAACTGAAGTGTGTCAGAATGAATTTTTAAAATACAAAAATAGTTAAATTTAAAAATAAATAAGATCCAAAAAGTCTGCAGAGAGGAAAGCCTGGTTGTATTTAAAGAATGAAAAATCAGAATGGCATTATACTTCTTATCTAAGACATTGCAGGCCAGAAGACAATGGAGCAATATCTTCATGTATTCATGGATATGGATTCATATCCAGCTAACCTACCTAAAGTACAAAAGTGATTAAAGATGACATTTTTAGACATTCAAAGTCTCAAAAGTATTACTTGACAATCTCCATGCACTGTTTCTCAGGAAGTTACTAAATAAAGTGATGTAGAAAAATAAGAGTCAAGAAAAACACCAACAGTAAATCTAAGACATAGAGCTCCTCACACAGGAGTGAAACTAAAGGGATTCTCAGTATGCCATCTCTGCAATAGGCCATATCAAAGCATCCAGATTGGAAGAGGAAGATAGGAAGATAAAACAAATATGTCTCCTTGGGGAATCAAACTGGAAATAATAGATTACCTGCTATGTTTTACCATGTGGAAAATGGCACCAAAAATAATAACACAGGTTTTATAGTTGACACATTTGAGATAAATTTGTGATGGAAACATTAATACTTATAAATAAAAATGAAGCAAATATCAACTCCAAGGAAAACATATTTTCCTTATTTAAAAAAATACAACCATAAAACAAGATTTTGCTCAGCAGCAAATAATACCTTCATAGCCATAAAAATGTAACACTGATTATTGATTTTATTTAAAATGCATTATATAAGTATATAGAAAGGATGAAGGAAGGAGGGCATGGAGGGGTGGGATGGTCTCATAAAAGTTCCAGGTACTCTCTTTTCATGCCAGGTACGCAATAATGTCTAAAATAGAAAAAAAAATCAAAGTGAAAGTAGTATTTAAAATTATATAGATGATCATCAGAAGAAATAACTAAAGGAAATGAAGAGGTTGCTTCTGAGATGTCCACCTGACAGATTAGAGCAAGGGAGTGCTATTCTTTATTAGACGTTTTAACTAAAACAAAAACTCCACACATGCTTTACTTTGATAAAATTCTAATTTTAAAATTTTAACTGCAATCACCTACTGTAAGAATGTCAGAGTGGAAGACTGCAGAATAATATTTTTGGAGAAAAGGGAAGCTGTTTTCTGTTTTTCACATCTGCCTAAGCATAGAGCTAGCCCTGACAGTTTCTAGGGAAGAAAAGAAGCACAGCATGATTCTTAAGTTTCAGACTTTCTTTTTCTTATAACGTCATTTTCTTTAAAGGAAGCAAAAGAACTCCCATGTTTTAAAGTTTTCGTTTTAACTCTATTTTCTTTTTTGTGGTCTTCTTAAATAGAATTATTTTTCTGCCAACATCAATAGTCACCTGGCACTTTAATCCAGTGTAGTTCTCTACCCTAGACAGCTGACAACCAGCCTATACAATAAGATTGGCCCTGACATTATGAAATTGACATAACTAAATGTCAACATAGATAGGAAAATGTGGAATCAGATTTTAGTAGCCTCAGCCTTTAGACTCTCCAATAAAAAAATTCTGCTCTCTGAAAAGGTCCCAGAATGATATCTCTGAGGCTGAAGTGCTATGCCAAGGTCCATGAGGCTTCAATGGTGAAATGCTTGGTACTGGGTCATGTGGTGAATTTTATAGACTCCAGAGAGACTTCTCAGAGAACTCCAGGGCTGGCTTAAAATGCCTCACACCCCTGAGGGTGTGACTGATAAAATAAAAACATGCCTCTGAAGGTCTCCAAGCACCTTTGGAGACAAATTAATTCTGACTTGTGTGACATTTGTTGGCTCAGACATCTACGAATTTCTCTTATTAGGCACTTTAAGAACACAGAAAATACGGACATTATTAGGGTAGTATATCACAGGTGACTCAGGTGAAAAAAATTACATTACATTTTATTTGTAAAATGTATATAGGTAAATTTTCTTAAAACCAGACAATTAATCTATGCTTTCAAAATTCATTGTGACTTGTTATATAGATGGCCTCTTATTTTGTCCAAGTTTTTTTCTAAATTTCAGCTTTCTTTTTTCTGGTCTTCTGAATTTTTTTTTCTCCCCAAAGCTATTTGGAAGATACATATTTTATTTCCAGTCTTCAAGCAGTTGTCCTTAAATTTTTAACATGCTTAAATGTAAAACTCTAACATTAATCAATATCTTTATCTGCCTTCTGAGTAATATAAGGGCTTAAGATGCTTAAATCCAATCACCCATCTCAAAGCTTACACACCCTTGTTATTCCTTTTACTTTTATTATGTTTGTTTAATTTTCATGTTATTTTTGCGTGTGAACCTGCCACCCAGCATAAGAACTGATATCACCAACAATGCTATTTATGAACACCTTCCTTATTCCATCTCATGCTCAAAGGTAATAAATACCTTGACTTTGTTAATCTTTTTTCATTGTTTTGCTGTTTTAAAAGTCATTTTCTCATATATATTTGTGTGCCTTAAAAAATGTACTATTTAGATTTGTATGTTTTTAGACTTTATAAAAAGTTTCCTAGATAGTCCTCTAGAATGAAGATGTCTTCATTTGACCTTATGTAATTAAGAGTCATCCACATTTTTATGCTCCAGATTATTTTTTACTGTTGTATAGTATTGCATTGTGTGACCATTTTGCAATTTATTTATCTAGTGTCCTGGCAATGAGCATTTGATTTAGGGCAGATGTGGAGATGGGCATTCAGATACGCCTTCAAGAGAGAACTTGTTTTGAGGAGCCAAGTTAGCTGACATCCTGTAGTGGCTGCAGGATTCCTACAGAGGTCATGGTCTCTCCCAGCCATCCCCAACCAACAGCTGAGCACCACAGGGGCACTTGAGTCAGGCTCTTTCTGTCCACAGCAGGTCTCCTCTGAGGTCCTCATCAGACTGGTACAGACTTTCTGTGAGCTGCATTGCAGTCTGAGGATCTTCTTACCCAGTATTTTCTTTCTTTCTCTTTCATAGGTATCAGATCTGCATCACAGTCTGAAGTTGCTCTCTGTCTACTCCTGAGACCCCTCCCTTTTATCCTTCATGAACATTTCCCTCATAAATCCCTTGCACTTCTAATTCAGTCATAGTGTCTGCTGCCCAGAGGACCCAAATAAACAGGGTTAGATGTTTTGCTATCACAACACAACTGCTGTGAACATTCTGGTGGGCAAGAATAATGCCTGTATACAAGAGTAAAATTGCTGAGCTGCAATGTGAATAAGTTCAACTTTTCAAAATGCTAAACTGTCTTTCAAAGTTTTTTACCAAGTTGCATAGCCATCAGCAATGTGTTAATAGATTCCGCTAGGATGCTACAATACTTGGTGGTGTCAGGTTTTTTAATATTTGCCAAATGGGCATGACGGCTCACACCTGTAATCCCAACACTTTGGAAGGCTGAGAGGTTCACTTGAGCCCAGGAGTTCAAGACCAGGCTGGGCAACATAGGGAGACCCTGTTTCTACAAAAAATAAAAAATTAGCTGGGTGCAGTGACGTGTGCCTGTGGTCCCAGCTACTCTTGAGGCTGAGGTGGGAGGATCGTTTGAGCCCAGGAGGTTGAGGCTGCAGTGAGCTATGATTTTGCATCTACATTCCAGCCTTGGTGGTGAAGCAAGACCCTGTCTCAAAAAAAAAATGTAAATATAAAATTAAACATTTGCTAATTAATTAGTATAAAATGATATCTTGATCTTGACTCACATTTCATATTTACTGAGCTTCAGCATATCTTTTTGTCTATTAACCATGTGTTTATTTTACTATGTCTATTCATGTTCAGATACATACACACACATAGACACATCTACCTTTCAGTCATGTATATTGCAAATAACCTCTCATTTTATAGCTAATTACTTCATTTCACTTAAAATACCGTTTGATAAAATATGCTATTAATTTTAACGTGATTGAATTTACAGTCTTTTAAAATATTATTAGTACTTAGTCTAAGCCACCTTTTCATACCACAATATGTTCATCTATACTTTCTTCAAATATATTTTTAAGGTTTTTCTTAGAGAACAAAAACTAGTTTAGGAAAGGATTCATTTTAATCTTTTTTTCCCCAAACAAAATAGATGATTTCTTGACTGAAATATCAAGGGGTTGATATTGTCCAAGTCATAACAGCCAAGCTCATGTGTGCAAAGGCAATAGCAACTATGCTATGACTTCCATCTGGTAGCTATTGTAAGTTACCATTTATTATTTTAAAAATGTTTGTGTTAACCCCATCTTTTATTTTCTATATTTTGATGCTTTGATATCTGGAGCCTCGTTGACCCAGAGGGGACTGCTTCTCCCAGGATTAGGTAATTCCTAGAGACAGTAAACAACTTACTTCATCTACTTACTTTGTTTGAGTTACGAGCGCTTTTCAATGGAAGCCATTCTCTTTATTTGCTGATGTTGCCATAACTAAATAACAATAAAACTTATCTTTTCAAAACAGTATCTTAAATCGAGATGTTAAAATGGAAAAAAGTGTGGTGCCTTAGAATAATATACAGAATTTTTAAAAGATTTTAAAAATTTACATCAATTAGTAAAACAGTTCTATAATCAATATCTTCCTAGTATTGTTCATATCCGATTTGAATATCAAGGTTAAACTGCCCTCACAGAATGATTTTGAGAGCGCTGTCTTCCCTCTGCTCCCACCCCATGTATTGGGAAAGTTAATAAAAGATTGGAATGATTTGCTTCTTAAAAGTTTGGTAGAGATCACCTGTAAAACTGGTCCTGAAAATATTTTTAGCTATTGCTTTATTTAATACTTGAGTACAGTAAGTTTATATTTTCTAGGAATTTTTCTACATCTAAGTTTTCAAAGCATATTAGAAAAAGTGTTCTTGACAGCATTCTCTTTGCTGCATTTGTATTTATGTCTTTTTCATTCATATTTGTTATCTGTGTCTTCTTTTTAACATTCTTGGGAGATTTGTCTATTTTTACATTATTTTCAAACAATCTATGTTTGTCTTATTTGATCTTCACTGTATCTTTTTCTTTTTCATTGATTTCTGCTCTTATTTTTATTATGCCATCTTTTATCTTATTGTCTAACTTTTTAAATTGGATATTGCATCATTTCAACCTTCTCTTTTTCTAATATACATTTTTTGGATATAAATTTCCCTTGAAGTATTTCTTTGTATTCCACAAGTTTCACTATACAATGTTTTTTATCATTTAGTTTTTAGTATTTTAAATTCTCATTTTGATTTATCTTTGACCTATTAGTTACCTAATTTCCAAATTCATTTAAATTTTTAAAATTTGTTGTTTTATTGTCTAAATTTTGATTTAATTGGATTGTGGTCAGAGAATGTGGTCTATGTGATAACTGTTTCCTGAAATTTTTTTAAGACTTGCTTTACATCCTAGTACATAATCAATTTGTAAATGTACATTGGAGAATAACTTATATTCATTAATTATAATTTATATTGCCCATTAGTTAAGCTTGCTGTTTCATTCAAATTTTCTATATTTGCTGTTATTCTTGACCTACAAATAATGAGAAAGTTATGTTGAAATTTCTCACCCTGAGGTTGTATATGTCGATTTGTTCTTGTGGTTCTATTAATTTTTTTCACATATGTTTGGTCTGTTACACCAGGTGTATATAGAGCTGTCAAATAATACACTCTCAAATAATACACTGTTTTTTTTTTTTTAAATTTCCAACCATGGCCAACCCATCCCCCAGCTTAGATTCAATTTTTATTCAGTCTTTTAACTCAATATTGTCTATTGTCAACCTCACAAATCAGACATCATCATTTTATATTAGTACTATCAATATACATTAGATCTTATATTTATCATCTTAGTTATATGCCATTTTTTCTTACAGCTCAGATCTTCTTTTGGAGATTTTTCTCCTTCCACTTGAAAAACACTTTTTGGAAATTCCATAAGCAAGAATACATTGGCGGTAAATCCTTTCAGATTCATCATATAGAAAATATCTTCTTCATATTTGTAAAAGATACTTTTGCTATGGATGCAATTCTTGGTTTTTTTGTTGGTTTGTTTTCTTTTGTTGTGTTGTGTTTTTGAGACAGAGTCTCATTCTGTCACCCAGGCTGGAGTGCAGTGGCATGATCACAGCTCGGGTTCAAGCAATTCTCCTGACTCAGCCTCCTGAGTAGCTGGAATTTCAAAGGGGCACCACCACACCCGGCTAATTTTTGTATTTTTAGTAGAAATAGGGGGTCTCATCAAGTTGGCCAGGCTGGTCTCGAACTCCTGGTCTCAAGGGATCTGCCCGCTTCGGCCTCCCAAAGTGCTGAGGTTACAGGCGTGAGCCAACAAACCGGCATTATTCTTGTTTTATATTTCCATCTATACTTTGGAGATTTTAATATTCTACCATTTTTAGGCTCTATCACTGCTGTTGACAACTCAGCTTTCAATCTAATCATTGTTTCTTCTTGAGTAAATTGCCTTTTTTTCCCCATATTTGGCTGCTCTTAACTACTTCTATTTCCTGTGTTCTATACTTTTACTGAGACAATTCTAATTATGGATTTTTTTTATTTACCTAGATAGACATTTTTTGGTCTTTTGAATTGGAGAGATATATTTTTCACCAATTCAGAAAAAATCTCAGGCATTTTAACCTCTCTCTTTTATATTTTGATCTGTTTCTCTAATCTAGAGTCCTCATAATTCTCTCTTCAGCTATGTTTATTTAGCTCTTCAGCCATACCATTAAGTTTTCCATTTAAATCATTATTTTTTTTAATTTGTAGAAGTTAAAGTTGATCTTTGTCCAATTTGCCTTACTCTTAAAAACTTCTATTTTAAAAAATCTATTAAACCTAGTTGTTTTATTTATTGCCTTCTATACTTCTTCATGGGTCCACTTCTGTGTTTGTTATTTCTATTGACTCTCATTCATATTGGCTTGTCTTTGTATGTTCAGGTTTGTGTTGTTGTTTTTTAAGGGCTTACAGTTGTAGGAACTCTCTTATATGGGAGTAGGAGGGCTGGATGGAGGGTGCATTGCTCTAGGAAGAATCTGTCTTTACTTCGGCAAACAATATGAACAGACATTTCTCAAAAGAAGACATTCATACAGCCAACAGACACATGAAAAAATGCTCATCACTCACCATCAGAGAAATGGAAATCAAAACCACAATGAGATACCATCTCACACCAGTTAGAATGGCAATCATTAAAAAGTCAGGAAACAACAGGTGCTGGAGAGGATATGGAGAAATAGGAACACTTTTACACTGTTGATGGGACTGTAAACTAGTTCAACAATTGTGGAAAAGTGTGGTGATGTGGTGATTCCTCAAGGATCTAGAACTAGAAATACCATTTGACCCAGCCATCCCATTACTAGGGATATACCCAAAGGATTATAAATCATGCTGCTATAAAGACACATGCACACGTATGTTTATTGTGGCACTATTCACAATAGCAAAGACCTGGAATCAACCCAAATGTCCATCAGTGACAGACTGGATTAAGAAAATGTGGCACATATACACCATGGAATACTATGCAGCCATAAAAAAGGATGAATTCGTGTCCTTTGTAGGGACATGGATGCAGCTGGAAACTATCATTCTCAGCAAACTATGGCAAGAACAGAAAACCAAACACCACATGTTCTCATTCATAGGTGGGAATTGAACAATGAGATCACTTGGACACAGGAAGGGGAACATCACACACTGGGGCCTATTGAGGGGAGGGGGTAGGGGGGAGGGATAGCATTAGGAGATATACCTAATGTAAATGACGAGTTAATGGGTGCAGCACACCAACATGGCACATGTATACATATGTAACAAACCTGCATGTTGTGCACATGTACCCTAGAACTTAAAGTACAATAAAAAAATAAAAAAATTAAAAGAAGCGTTTTTCTCCTGGTAGTTTAAGATGACTTGTTGTTGTAGGATTTTGACCTATCTAGTCCTACATATTACTGTATATATTTTTGACACATAATTAGAGTTTTACACATATGCTTCTGTAGTAGAGTGGGCAATTAAATTCAAATACCATAAACTGGTCATAATCTTCTAGCTTGAATATAATTAGCATTCACATTAATTTTTTAAGTTACTTAGGTTTAAGCTTACCATCCTAAGTCTGGCCTCATTGCAGAGTTGAACCAGTACTCTCCAGCACCATTCTCAATCCGCAGGGAAGAGTCTCTGGTCTAGCTTGGATGATGTCAGGTGTGCATCCTCACACTCAGCCAGGTCCTGGGAGCGTCCTGCAGTGTGAGTGTCACAGTTTGGCTTCTGTAGATGCTGAGATCGTGTTTGGGTGCAGGGTGTTTATGAGAAATCAACACCTGCAGAAGAGATGGGAAAGAAGCAGGACTGGGTAAAGGGAGAGGTTGAACTGCCATGCAGACCACACAAAGACTCAGTCAACCCTCAGAGTTGTCCCCACGTGGGTCTTCGTGCCCTGAATGATCTGCCACTAGATGCAGGCCACCATAGGAAGGGCACGCCCTGAGAGAAGGGATGCTTTACAGCTGAGGAAGGCCCTGAAGGAGCTGAGAGCACTCCCAGCAGCTGGGGCAACAAATCCCCCTGAGACTCAGATGCTCATTCCTGGGCCCTCCACATGCACCTCATAGCACTGACCTCAGAGTGTTGCTAGGAAGAAAAAAATGGGCTAGAAAATGTGAGATATGGCCCATAAAAAGGACTCAGTAAATGCTGTCTTCTGATGACATTGATGTTAGTTTCACCTGATTTCACCAGAAGACCAATGTTTGTGAGCACTTTTTTTGAGATAGGCCGGAGTGCAGTGGTGCAATCTCAGCTCACTGCCACCGCCACTTCCCAGGTTCAAGCAATTCTCGTGCCTCAGCCTCCCAAGTAGCTGGGACTACAGGTACCTGCCACCACAGCTGGCTAATTTTTGTACTTTTAGTAGAGATAGGATTTCATCATGGTGGCCAGACTGGTCTCGAACTCCAGACCTCAAGTGATCTGCCCATCTTGGCCTTCCAAAGTGCTGGGATTACAAATGTGAGCCACCATACCTAGCCAGGAAGACAGATGTTGGGTAGAGATAAGCCATATGGTGTGGCTCACCCAGGCCCTGCACCCCATTGGCATACATCGTCCTCTGCTCAGTCACTTTAGCATCTTGGGGAGGGCACCATGTATGCACTTGTGCTTAGACAGTGATTGTGGTCTACACATTTTGTAAGTATACATTGCCCGTTTGAAGGTCTGGTTCATTATTCCTCAGCTGTTGCAATGAGGCAATTTCCTGCTTTTGTAGCACCAATAATAATTATGTTGGCAAGCCTGTAGTTCTAATGTCCAACGTAGCAGAAGAAAAGTCTGTCTTAGCTCTTAGAGAGAGACCAATTTGCCTTCTGTATTTGTTCTCCTTAGGCCCCCAGCAGATTGGATGGTGCCCACCCACATTGAGGGCAGATCTTCCCAACCTAGCCCACTCAGACTCATGCATTAATCTCTGGAAAAGTCCTCGCAGACACAACCAGAATAACACCTACTAGACATTTCTTAACCCAGTCAAGTTGACACCTAAATTAAGTCCACAATTTCACCCCTTATCAGGTTGGCACCAAATGCATCTCCTTAAACCACAATTTCCAAGTAAAGACAAAAACAAGTTAATAGTTTTGCCTAATATGACGCAGCTATCCTTCATACTGTTAAAAACACACTAATCTCTTCTCAGAATATGGCTTTCATGATTTCAATATCAGGAATTTTAATCTTTCAGGACTGTGATTTTAGACATTAAAGGTTTTAGCTGTTGGGGTTTTTAGACTTTAGGGATTTGATCTTTAGGGATTTCAACATTCAGGATTATGGCATTTGGGATTGTGTCTTTTAGAATTTGATGTTTCAGGATCATGATCAGCACTGGTCTATGGAAGAGACAAAGCCAGGCTGGGCTGTGCAGGGGACAAGACACTGGCAGATCTGAGACTGGTCTAGGCTAAACAGAAGGACGGGGACTACTACTGAATGGGGCATATCTGAGGCCCAGTCATGAGTAAAGACCCATGGCAACCTCCCTGGGCAAGATGCAATGAGAGATGTTACTTCCCCCAGAGTCAGAAGGCCAGGTCTGAAGCAAGCTCCAGGAGAGGCTTAAGTCAGTTTAAAACTTGGAGCAATTGGTGCTTCAGCTAGGCAGTTCAGGCTTCCCCAGTCAGCCCTGCCTCTAGGGCTCATCCTTTGGGGTCTTGAAGCAGCTAGGCCTTTTAAAGTAGGACCTCCCCAATAAAGACAACTGCATCCATTTTATCTGGAAGCCTTTAGTACCTGAGTCATATGGCAATTTCAACACAAGAAGACTAGAGGAAAGGATGCACTAAGTTCATTACAAGTTGTGTCAATATCTTCTGGCATGTCTCATCAGGTTCTTTTTCCTCTAGGGCCAAACTTTCTAGGATTATACCAAAGATACCTATAACTAAGCATTGACAGGTCATCAATGTCAACTTGTAAGCCTCAGATGGTGACTTGATGGAGAATGTCACTGAGTAATGTTACTCGTTGTATGTTGTGAAAATAGAAGAGAACTCCAATTGTAATTCACTCAATGAATATGTACTGAGTTCTAGGGACCATGCTAGACTTGGGAGCTACAAATTTAAATTAGATTCAATCCCTGCCTGGGGTAACCCAAAGGGAAGAGGTGAGATTTTGTAATCACATGACAGAAAGCAAAAGGGATGGAAGGTCATGATGACAATGGGAAGTGAAAGAATTGTGTGCTGCCTCCCATCTCCCATGCCTTCCCACATTCCACCTCTTCCTGTCACACAAAAACACTCAGAAAGAGTCCCTCATGCCTTTTTCAAAACTGCTTAGGTAGAAAATAAGTTGGATACACAACAAGAATGAAACTCAGTGGCTTTCTGTACAACAAAAGTCTTGTCATACTCCAATTGACCTAGGGAGACAAGACTAGGAAGGAGAGAGCCATGAAGCTAGGTTCCTGCTGTCGCAGAACAAAAATGGAATTCCTGGGAGCTTACGACACTCAGAGCAGGAAATACGATGCCTGAGCAGGAAATGGCAGTGGGCTTAAGTTGGCCATGAACTTATTGTCAAGGAGTCTGGACCAAATTTGGTGGATAATAGAGAGTTGTTAGGGATTAGCAGCTTTTAAATGTCATTGAGACAGGAGTGCAGTGTACTAATTCAAGATGAAAGACTGAAAAGATGGAGACTAAACCCACGAATTCTTCCATGGCTCCACCGAGAGTGACTGACTCTGGCCCCCAGAACTAGAGCTACTCAAAGATCCTCCCAATCCAGTGATTCTCCCAACCACTGCCTGGCCAAGGTGGCCGTCCCAAACTCCTGAGGGGCTTCTTGGCTGGCTTTCTGGGAGGAGCCCCTCTGAAGTCACCTGGGGCCCCCTGAGTTCTATCTTCTTTAAAGAAGCCTGCCCCTGTTGGGTATCCTCTGTTCCCTAGTGCCCCAAACCTGAAACTCAAGATTCTCCTTCTCTAGCTTGTCCCTTCCTCATTCCCCAAATAAACTCATGCACCCGATTCACTCTTGAAGGATTTACTAGTGTCTCTATAGTGAAGAGGGAATTTAAAAAATAGTAAGATGGAGTAGTTATGAGCTCAGGGAATCCCACGGTGTCCTCACAGTCAAGACACCTGAGCTGTAATTCCTAACTCCTATTCTTAATATCTAGGAACTTCAGAAAAAGCTCCCAAGTTTCCAAGAATTCATACTTCAAGCATCCCTTTTCCTCCAATTCCAGATGTGGTGGGAAATCATTTTCTGTTCCCACAGCCCTAGTCTCAGAAACCCCTAATCTAGCTCTGACCCTGCCTACTTAGCCCACTTTTGGGTCTAGTGGGGTTTCTACCCTCTCATTCCCCTCTCACATTTTTATTTTTCTTCTATTTCCCACAACCCCAACTAAACTTCTTCCCAACAAAAAGTAGTTTCTATGTCACAGGCAGTTCGCAAAACACCCTGTAGGTGACTCCAGTATGCCACCAGCAACAACAGGCTTACTTGATCTTTTGACCAAGAAGTCTTCAGCTCAGGAAATATCAAGTCATTATCAAGGTTTTCTTACTTTTTTGCTTTGCTCTATTTTAAGATCATGGAACAAATCTGAATTCTGAGACCAGCCTCTTACAAAAGCAAACTGTCACGGAGGGGCAAAAGACCTTGAAAAACCTGAAAGCATCTTTAGAAAGAAGAATGATGTGACAACTTAAAATGATACTATTGTTATTTCTGCTTTGAGTCAGCATACTACCAGTAAGCTCTTAAATGCATGTTTATTGCCTAGCAGGGTAATGCTCTTATAACGTTTCAATGTGCAGCACCACATTGTACCCAAAGGTATAGGATTAGCTGTGGTTAAACATGCTGAAAATTCTTTATTATTTGCAGAAGAAAGAACTTCCTTTTAGTGACAATTCTGGAAGTAGAGCCAACTTATTTTCAATGGCTTCTTCAATTTAAATGAGATGATGCATTTCTGAGCAGTTGAGTAAAACAAGGAACCAGTGTCAAGCCAAAGCACCTTGAAGTAGAGAAAAGTCTAAATTATTCAATAAGGGTTTTATCTTTCATTTCGTGGATTTGGATAACTCCACTGGAACTCACTGGGACATTCTATATCCTAGATTAGAACTCTTAAAATATAATTAGAAAGACATGGTTACTGAAATATCCACCTGATAAATTGTTCTCACTTATAAGTATAGTAGACATATATCTTAGACTTCTTTGGTACAATTCCACTTTAAATTTATTTTATTCTTTCCTATAAAGGCAGCATGTTCAATGTTTAACCAAACTGGATTCCATATTATTCAATTTAGAGATCAGAAAACATCTATTGCTGGACCACCTGTCTTAAGTTTATAAAATAAGGATGCCATGAGCTCTCACAAGACTTTGTAGTGATATTCCACTACATTTATAATACTCAAGAATCTCAGCTAATTTAGCTTAGATTTACAAGAATCATTGGGATGTAAAAGCATTTGTAAGGCAATGTAATTTATCCTTCTCTTTCAGGTAGACAGTCACACCTGAATCATCCTAGACTAATGAGAATTCTTTCTGTTTCTGAAGACATTCAGAAAATTAGATCAACAAGCCTCTTCTATTGCACCTTTCCTTTCTGAATACACAGTCATCATGTTCTATTAACAGATGAGAAAGAAAGTCAAGTTCTAGACCTGGTCGTCCCATATCTGTAGTAAAGACTGTTTGCCCTGTAACTAATGATGATAGGGTTTTGGGTCCAAAATCTATTTACTTTTGTCTAAACCTTTCTCAAAGTCAGCAAAAATGACTATAAATCCTA